AGGTTGGTCAGTGTGAGTTTTACACACTAGCACCAACTCAGCATCCATAGAGAATTCAGCTTTTTGACACTCTTGTTTATCTTGGAGTAAAATCAGTTCTTTGTGATAACTGTGTAGACATTATATTTTAACTCTACTGTGCTGTATGTCCTGACTTTTTAAAAAAATTATTTTAATTGGAGGATAATTACTGTATAATATTGTGATGGTTTTTGCCATACATCAACATGAATCAGCCACAGTTATGCATGTGTCCCCCCATCCTGAAACCCCTCCCACCTCCCTCCTCACTCTATCCCTCTGAGTTGTCTCAGAGCACCAATGTCCTGACTCTTTACCAAACTACATCCTAACTCTTTTCCTCTCTAGAGCCTGACACTGGTCCTCACTACATCCTGACTCTGGCTTCCAGTCTTGTTAATTTAAAAATATTTGCCATGGGAAAAAATGGACTACTAATATAAAATAATCCCTTTTTAAAAAAATTACTATTTCTTGACTGTATATTTCATTTAAACAATGAATCAGCTATTCTCTTTCCCAGATACTTACTTTAACAGGCTAATTTTAATAAGTGGAGAAGCTGCAGTATTTGGAGGTTTATTGGTCCGTCATGTGTCAATCATAAATATTATTTTTCCTCTGTCACAGAACGATTATCCAAATGCAATCTATGGAAAAGATAAAAATCGGTTACCATGGTCTTATTAGTGATGGACAGGGAAGCCTGGCATGCTGCAGTCCACGGGGTCACAGAGTCGGACACAACTGAGCGACCGAACTGAACTGATGGTCTTCTTAATGTGAGTATAAACCAAATGACAAAGCTAACCTAAGAAACACATCATTGCATCAAAAACAAATCTTTGAACTTGTGGATCCAGTGGATCAATTTTTCTTGTCAGATAAAAGAATGAAGCAGTGATAGTGGTGATAAAATGTACCTTTGTCTTTCCTTCGAAGTAACTCGTTGCTTCTATTCCTGAAGTTCTTTTGTATCTACTCAATGTAATAAACTTCCTTTAATCTTGGATGATGAATAGCACCTTAATCACAGGTTACACAAATGGGCACTGTTTCTTTATGGTACTTGACTTCAATTCCTTTTCCTTTTGCCACCCTAGGCTTATTGACATCCATGGTTCATGATTTTTTGTTTCTTTCAAATGCAAAGGCAGCTGTGGGGTGGGATCCTTTGAGATTAACTTAACTTCATTGCATATCAGAAGAAAAGTATGTTCACCTTTTGGAATTGAAGGGCACAGACAATAAAATGAGTTTCTTCATTTATTTGTTAGTAACCAGAACAATTGTCCCCTTCCAGCTCCTTTCCCAGCTCCTAATAATGTGCTCTTTAGAGCCAAGAGGGCTTCTTTTGAAGACTTTCCTACTGATGGGAGGCGGTGGTTTTTCTCATTCCTTTTCCTTACTTTCCCCCAAATCCAGAGTCTATCTTTCTACCAACTTAGACTAGTTCCACCTCTGAAATTCTTGTCAGGGAAGCAGGCTGACACCCTGTCAGTGCTGTGCTGTGCCTTGCTTAGTCACTCAGTTGTGTCCGACTCCTTGCAACCCCTTGGACTATAGCTCACCAGGCTCCTTTGTCCCTGGGATTCTCCAGGCAAGAATAATGGAGTGGGTGGCCATTCCCTTCTCCAGGGGATCTTCCTGACCCAGGGATCGAACCTGGGTCTCCTGCATTGCAGGCAGATTCTTTACCATCTGAGCCACCAGGAAAGCCCATTTAGTACTGTGAAAGTGAAAAGTGAAAGTGAAAGTCACTCAGTCGTGTCTGACTCTTTACGATCCCATGGACTACATAGTCCATGGAATTCTCCAAGCCAGAATACTGGAGAGGGTAGCCTTTCCTTTCTCCAAGGGATCTTCCCAACCCAGGGATTGAACCCAGGTCTCCCGCATTGCAGACAGATTCTTTGCCAGCTGAGCCACAAGGGAAGCCCATTTAGTACTGTAGCAAGTGCTAAATAATCTTACTAGAAGAACATATGCTTTATGATTAAATTATCATAGACACGGTGCTGGACCTCTCTCCTATTTAATCTCTGCATCTGACCTTGGATGCCTCTCCTCTTTCACTTTTCTAGGACCCCACACACCAATTATGCCTACTTTCTTCTAGTCACGCAACTAAATTTTTATCACCAGAATCTTTTCCCATCATTATTTCAACATTACTGTCACTCAACGTAATCCAAACAAAGCAAAACATAGCCCACTTTTGACCTATATTTCCTCTACTGCCTTGGGCTTCCCTAGTGATTCAAACAATAATCTGCTTGTCAATGCAGGGGACACAGGTTCGATCCCTATACCGGGAAGATCCCACATGCTACAGAGTAACTAAGCCTGTGCATCACAACTGTCGAGCCTGTGCTCTAGAGCCTGGGAGCCATAACTGCTGAGGCCACGTGCCACAACTACTGAAGCCTGTGTGCCCTGGAGCTAGGGCCGAGCAACAAGAGAAACCATGGCAATGAGAAGCCAGCACGCTGCAACTAGAGGGTAGCCCTTGCTTGCTGTGAGATAAAGCCGTGTAGCAATGAAGACTCAGCACAGCCAAAAATAAATAAAAAGAAGATGAAGGCAGGACTAATTATGGGCAGAATCCCTAACATGTCCACATATTGCGATTTGTAGTAGTGATAATCTGTCAAGAAGGGCTAACGCATTTTCCTTCTCGAATGGGAGATCTAAGAAAAAACAATCTCTGGGATTCCTAAATGTTGTAGAAGATGTTCTCTTCTCTTTGATACTCCAGGTCCATAGAGACAAGCCAGTCAGACTTCTGTTCACTTTTTTTTTTGGTGAGGAAAGGGTTTTCTAGGAAACACGGAAAGTGAGTGAAGTCGCTGAGTCGTATCCGACTCTTTGTGACCCCACACGGCCTGTAACCTGCACCAGACTCCTCTGTCCACAGGATTTTCCAGGCAAGAATATTGGAGTGGGTTGCCATTTCCTTCTCCAGGGGATCTTCCCGACCCAGGGATGGAACCCAGGTTTCCCACGTTGCAGACAGACGCTTTACCCTCTGAGCCACCACGGAAGCCCTCAAGAAACACTGAACTTCCCCCTAAAAGTAGGCCAGAGTAAACAACTCAAACTTTAAATGCAATAATCATGAAACTTTACATCTACTATTAAAAACAACAGGGCCAAAATGGAGTCACTAATGCTAAGCCCCACATTTTCTGCTTTCCCAGAAACAGAATCTTAAATGAGTCAGTCAGGAATTACCCTGTCCCCACTAGGGATATAATCTTCCTGATAGACCCCAACTACCCTCTAAAGGAAAGAAACCTTGGCACAACCAATGCGCTTTTTGCTGGTATAATTTCTCTGTCCTGCCCTCTTCTGCCTAGAAAAGTCTTTCATTTTGTATAGCTCTTGGGAGCTCCTTTTTACCTTCGAGATGGGATGCTGCCCAATTCATGAATTGTTAAATAAAGCCAGGAAGATCTTTAAATTATACTCTGTTGAATTTTGTTTTTTAATGCAACTAATCTGAATATCATTTTTTCCTAAGTCATCAGTTTAACATGAATACTGAAAGATAATCGATTGACATGATCTTTGGAGTTTGCTTTAAAATATTCCAATTAAGGAAAAAAAAATGGTTGGGAGTGGTAGTGAAGGCAGATGAAAGAAAAATGTTGGTAATTTCTGAAAGTCTAGAAATTTATCACACTTTTGAGATTTTCTACAACAAAGTTTTAAAATTTTAGCTTTTTCTATTTTTCACCCTCTGAATATTTTTCTTTTCTTTTTCTTTTTTTGGCCTACTAAAACCTGAGACGCTTGTCTGGGAAATTACATGGACAGAGGAGCCTGGTGGGCTACAGTCCATGGCATGTCAAGAGTTGGACAGACCTTAGTAACTAAACATCATGGATTTGTCAGTTTCTGTTATGTGAGTACGGTAAGAGGCTAAATAATTAAAAGCATCCTTTGTGATTAAAAACAAAACAAAACAAAACAAAACACAAAACCTGAGGGGGGTTCTGGCCGCAGGAAGAAAACAGCACAAGCAGTCCTTCGCAAACCTCTTCTTGTCTATTTGTGAATACATTGAATCCTCAGGGGACCCTCTGATCTGTTCCACACGTTTCGCTCGAAAGCAGAGCTTTCCTATGAAACCTGTTGGAAGCCAAAATGGCATAAAGGGAGCAAGCAATTACCCCAGCACACATCTTGCTAAGGCGATAAAGCACAGATGCTCAAAGATGTAATTCAAAGCTACGGCAAGGGAGATGCTGAGTACAGTTTCCCAAGAGAAAGCTTGGTGATGCCACCTCAGCCTCTATCAAGGCTGCTGCAATACAGACGCTGTTATTTTCAATTTTCATCTTTTCACATAAAAGTAAAAAAAAAAAAATCACAGCTTTATACTCACAAAAATAGGTACTAATGTGGGTCTTCCATAAAAGCTAAGTGGTCTGGAGTGAATTTTCCAACACCGGAAGAATATCTATATACTTTATTAACATATAACTATATACAGATTTCATTTTATAACTAATATAGTTGGCTTTCCACACATAACCCAAGCTGGGCGGGGGCGGGGGCGGGGGGGGGTGTTATTAAATCTCCGCCGGCATCATCAATTATAACCAATTTCCTCCAGAAGCGGCGCTTTGTCCCCTCACCTCACAAGGCGAGAGAAAGCGCCCGGCGTCGGGCGTCTCCAGGGGGCAGCCCTCTCAGAACCGGAAGTCCTCTTCAGGCCTCAGTTTCCACAAAGTGAAAGAACCGCCGGCGGGTCGTACCGGTCCCCGGCCCCGCCCTACCAGCGGGCAGGCACGCCCCGAGGGCGGAGACCGGGCGGAGCCGCGAGCTCTCCTCCGCCTCCTCCCGACTCGCCGCTGCCCCCGGTGCTGGCGGCGCATGTGCCTGGCCACCCCTCCCCGGCCCTGGATTCCACTTCCTCTCCGCTGGCGCTGCCGCCGCAGCCGCCTTCAGGCCCCGCGCCGCCTCCGGAGTCCATGGCCGGGACGCGCTGGGTGCTCGGGGCGCTGCTCCGTGGTTGCGGCTGCAACTGCAGCAGCTGCCGGCGCACCGGAGCAGCCTGCCTGCCCTTTTACTCGACCTCCGGCTCCTTTCCCTCGGGAGTCTCGGGCCGCCGCCGCCTGCTGCTGCTGCTCGGGGCCGCCGCGGCCGCCGCCTCTCAGACGCGGGGCTTCCAGAGCGGGCCTGTGACCGCCGGGAGGCTGGCGGGCCCTCCCACCGCGGCCGCGTCCGCCGCCGCCTCGTACCCGGCCCTGCGCGCCCCATTGCTGCCGCAGTCACTGGCGGCGGCTGCGGCGGGCCCAGCGCGGGGCTACAGCCAGGTACGTGGGTGCCGCGAAGGGCTGCGCGCCGGACCCTCCCCGGCCGCGCGCCCGCTCCCCTCGGCGTGCGTGTCGCCGGCGCGCGCGGGGTTCCGCGGCACGCGCCGCACCCCCCTTCCGCTCCCACCCCCGCCCGCCCAGTCCTCCTATTGGGCCCCAGAACAAGGGACGCTTTCCCCGGCCTCGGCTTTTCTCCTTGTTTTTGTTCTCCTCTCGAGTCTGTGGTCGGTTGGGCAGTGTAAGTGTGACTGGGGGTGAATGTTGAGGCCTTGTTTCCCGCCGGCCTATGGTAGGTTTTGTGAGGCGGTCTCCGTCCCCGCCGCGCATCCTTGTCGCTCCCCGCCCCCCTAGTCGTGAAGTTGGGAGGCTGGACCCCCGGAGGGTCGGGACTTTCTGTGTCGCCCGAGCTCTAGGCCTGGGCGGCCCTCGGCGCACCTGGCGGTCCGCTGCTGCGAAGCTTCCCGCACTCGCGTGGGCTGGGTTGGGGGGGTGCGGCAGAAGCAGACTGGTCCCCGGCGCTGTCCTTGCTCTCGAGTCCCCGGGGAAAGGCGGGTTGCCCCAGTTACTGAAGGTCACCTCCGCCTCTTCTGACGGAAGGTCCTTTAGGACCGTGGGTCACCGCCGGTGGAAGGACAGCTTGGAGACCGATATAGGGGGAGGGGGGCTGAGGAGAGAAGGCGTCTGGGACTGATGATGACTTGGGGACCCAGGAGTGAGTCTACAGTAATTTGTTTTTTTAGTGAGTGTGTACGGATTGCAAATATTTTGTGCCTCATAGGAAGCTTTCCTTCTGCTTGTTAGCGTGGCGTCTGGGAAATGTCAGCACACTTTTTTGACCACCATGTTCCTGATGCCTTGGGTCATATTTATCTTAATTCAGTTTGTGCTTCTCCTTGAACTTAGGGAAACTGCGAAGCTGATCAGCATGGCTGATGTCTGCCAGTGGCTGAGCTAATGGATTTGAATCCGGGCCCAATAGTTTTTGCTGCCCTTTTTTGTAAAAGCTTGTGATGTTTATGGAATTCTGGGAAAATGGGGAATGTTGTTTTGATTAAAAGAAAATAGTATGCTTTTGTGACCTGGCTGCTCTCTTTTTCTGATATTTATTTCTGTGAATTTGGCTAATATAATGATATGTGTTGAGCCTTTACTGGTATTATACTGTGCTTGCATTATTGATTCCTTAAAATTTAAATCTTCGTGAAAATGATGGGAACATAAAAAACAGTGAAGTATCTCTCTTGAGTAGAGTGCAAGTCACTTGACTTAAAGCCTGTCTTCCCTTGTTGACAATCGTAGTGCTTGTTGCATTCTTATTTAATACGTATCAGGCCTCTGCTAGACGTTTACATTTATCATTGACTTCTTAGAATTAGACAAGTTTTTATGTAAATGGTAGGATGGTACAAAGGAATCCGTTTCCTTAGCCTAGTAGAGTGCAAGTCTTAAAACCCGAGTTGTCTTCCCTGGCTATGGTTCTGGTGCTTGTTAGAACCTTGTTATGTTCCACTTTTTGTTTAGTCTGGTAAAATACGAGTTTTTTGGATGTGTCTCAAGCTCCAGTTACCTCACACTACTGCTTTTGCGATTAATGATCTTTTCCTTATTCAGTTGATCTGACATGTCAGTTGACAGGTTAGGCTTTCCAAGCATCCTGCTGACTTGTTGATTTATGCACTCCTAAATGTCTTTTATTAGCTCCCCTTTGCCTACCAGTTTAAGGACGCACACTGAGCTTAACACTCCAGTTCTTCTGCTGTGTGGTACCCAGTTCCTTTTGCCAGCTCATCTTCTTTGGCTCCTAATTGCATCCTGCAGTTTAGCCAAATGCAATTACTGCTGTTTTGCAAATGGGCTTCTGTTCCTACTGTTTGTTCCCCTTACTTCTCAGACTGGAATGTCTGGCCTTTATATATTGCTCTCAGAATTCTAGCCTTCCTTCAGTGCTCATCTCATATCTTGTCTTGATTCTTTTGTTTGTGCTTTGTTTTCAATTTCTATAATATCTTGTATCGTAGCTGTAACACTTAAAACATCTTGTCTGTGTCCTTGTCCTACGCTACATGCCAAGCTTTTTGAGATGGAAGCCTAGTTACGGCCTACTGCAGTTAGGAGGTGTTTATATATTTGTCCAGTTGAAGGGACCTCTCTTGTCCCGCCTTAACTAAAACACTACTAGGTGTAATTTGAGATTGATAAATTTAAAAACAAGCCTGGAATAAAATTTACATTCTGCCAAGCCATTAGGCTTTGTATGCTTCTTGCTTTAGGATGTGCAATGTAAGCCAGAACAGGATGAGTTAGATTTGTGAATTTTCCTTGCCTCTGAAATAACAAATTGTCCCTAAAGAATAACATTCAGAGTGTTTTTGTAGAAATAAACATTTGTTAAGTACCTGTTCAAGAAATATTTCTGCAATTCTTCATTTCTCTTGGAAGGAATCCAAAACTACCTACCTGGAGGACCTTCCACCTCTCCCTGAGTATGAATTGCCTCCGTCCAAGTTGGGAGAGGAAGTGGATGATGTTTATCTCATTCGAGCTCAAGGATTACCATGGTCCTGCACTGTAGAAGATGTCCTTAGCTTTTTCTCAGGTATATTTTATGTATGTGCGTAAAAGTTAGTCCCATAAAATCCCAGTTAGACTATGCTGTAGACATCTTATTTGATGAATGGAAATTGTCATGTTCTGGGGACATCATATATATTATTTGTCATATATACCAGATTTAAAGACCTTAAATATAGCAAAAATTTTAATGTTAAAACTATATGGTATGAAACCAGTTTTCTCAGAAGTTTTAATGTGTGCATAACCTGTTAGTGGAAATACGTTAGAATATACTTGAGTAGCTCTTTGTGTAACACATATATTTGTTGTTATTGTTCCCTTAGTTTAGTAACATGTTTGAAGGCTTATGTATTTATGGTTGATCTTAATCTTTTGTATCTTCCTATGATTTTAATTTTCCTGCTTCTTAAGAGGCTTCTAGAAGATGCTGACTTAAATGTTACATGTTAAATGAACATGTAATACTATATTAAGTACCTGATGTGCGTTGTATTTACATTTTCAACTTGCTCCCAATATAAGGAGTGTGCAGTTTGGTAATGAAAAAGAGGAAAAGTTAAATTATGTTGCAAAATTATTCTGATAGATATTTTAGAGTTCTTATGGATATGGTCATAACAAAGAAGACACTTATGCATAAACCTAACCATATTTTAATTCTTTGAATGATGTTAAACCAATTGTAGAAACATTTGGAAGGATATATTAATCACATTTTGTGTTGAGCCTAACCTGATTTGCCATTTACTGATCATGAGGTCATAAACTTATGTGATAAGGTTTGCTTATCTTTTCCACACGCAACATTTAAGAGATTACCACCATCATTAGCATTTGGATGCCTTTGGTACTGAAGGTTTGTGTAAGGAAAATGGCGGGCAGTGTGGATACTGCTTCATTCTGTTGTTGTTAGATTGCAAATCTGATGACTTGTATTGATATGATTGAGCTAAAACTTTGATTTCTGGTTTTGATTGATTTTACTCACAAACTTTCAGACTGCAGAATTCGCAACGGTGAGAATGGAATTCACTTCCTCTTAAATAGAGATGGGAAACGAAGGGGTGATGCCTTAATTGAAATGGAGTCAGAGCAGGATGTGCAAAAAGCCTTAGAAAAACACCGCATGTACATGGGGCAGCGGTATGTGGAAGGTACGTGAAGTCATATTATTGCTTTTTGGGATCATCACATTAGACTGTACTTTTCAAGGCAGTTTCATTTGATCCTATGTTAAATATTATGAATAGTGAAGTAGTTAGATACTGTGAATAACCCTTTTCCAAGGTGGGAAAATGAAGCCAAAAATAATCTCTGTTTCTTGTCTGTAAAATGAGGATGTTGACAAAGTTTACCTCTGATGTTGTGATGTTACAGCTGGCTCAGGGTAAACATCTGACAAATGTCATTTATTATTTTCACCAGAGAAGTATTAATACATATGTTTTTAGAGTCTTATGTAATCTAACCAATGTGATTATTTTTAATGGATTCTTTGTTATGTAAATTTTGCATACCTTTTGTGCTCTTTTGCTTAGTCTATGAGATAAACAATGAAGATGTGGATGCCTTAATGAAGAGCCTGCATGTCAAATCTGCACCTGTGGTAAATGATGGCGTGGTTCGCTTGAGAGGACTTCCTTATAGTTGCAATGAGAAAGACATCGTAGATTTCTTTGCAGGTGCTTTTCAGTTATATCATGTTTGGGACCTCATATCATCTTGCTCCAGGTTTCCGTAGTGGCTTAGTGGTAAAGAATCCGCCTGCCAGTGCAGGAGACTTGAGTTCAGTCCCTGGGTCAGGAAGATCCCCTAGAGAAGGAAGTGAAAATCCACTTCACTATTCTTGCCTGGGAAATCCCATAATCAGGGGAGCCTGGCAGGCTTGAGCCCATGGAGTCACAAAGAGTCAGACATGACTAAGTGACTGAACAACAGCAACAGTCTTCTCCCTCCGTTGTTTCCTTTTATCTTAGGTGAACATTTTCCTGGTCAGTCAGTTCAGTTGTGTTCAGTTGCTAAGTCGTGTCTGACTCTTTGCAACCCCATGGACTGCAGCAGGCCAGGCCTCTCTGACCATCGCCAACTCCCAGAGTTTACTCAAAATCATGTCCATTGAGTTGGTGATGCCATCCAACTGTCTCATCCTCTGTCATCCCCTTCTCCTCCCGCTTTCAGTCTTTCCCAACATCACAGTCTTTTCAGATGAGTTAGTCCTTCACATCAGGTGGCCAAAGTATTGGAGTTTTAGCTTCAGCATTAATCCTTCCAATTAATATTCAGTGTTGATTTCCTTTAGGATGGACTGGTTTGATCTCCTTGCAGTCCATGGGACTCTCGATAGTCTTCTCCAACACCAGAGTTCGAAAGCATCAATTCTTCGGTGCTCAGCTTTCTTTATAGTCCTACTTTCACATCCATACATGACTATTGGAAAAACCACAGCTTTGACTAGACGGGCCTTTGTTGGAAAAGTAATGTCTCTGCTTTTGAATATGCTCTCTAGGTTGGTCATAGCTTTTCTTCCAAAGAGTAAGCGTCTTTAAATTTCATGGCTGCAGTCACAATCTGCAGTGATTTTGGAGCCCAAGAAAATAAAGTCTCTCACTGTTTCCCCATCTATTTGCTATGAAGTGATGGGACCAGATGCTATGATCTCAGTTTTCTGAATGTTGGATTTTAAGCCAACTTTTTCAGTCTCCTCGTTCACTTTCATCAAGAGGCTCTTTAGTTCTTCTCTTTCTGCCATATGGGTGGTGTCACCTGCATATCTGAGGTTATTGTTATTTTTCCCAGCAATCTTGATTCCAGCTTGTGCTTCATCCAGCCCAGCATTTCTCATGATGTACTCTGCATATAAGTTAAATAACTAGACTGACAGTGTACAGCCTTGAAGTACTCCTTTTCCTATTTGGAACCAGTCTGTTGTTCCATGTCCAGTTCTGTTACTTCCTGACCTGCATACAGGTTTCTCAAGAGGTAGGTCAGGTGGTCTGGTATTCCCATCTCTAAGAATTTTCTATAGTTTGCTGTGATCCACACAGTCAAAGGCTTTGGCATAGTCAATAAAGCAGGAATAGATGTTTTTCTGGAACTCTTGCTTTTTCGATGATCCAACGGATGTTGGCAATTTGATCTCTGGTTCCACTGCCTTTTCTAAAGCCAGCTTGAACATCTGGAAGTTCACAGTTCATGTACTGTTGAAACCTGGCTTGGAGAATTTTGAGCATCACTTTTACTAGAGTGTGAGATGAGTGCAATTGTGCTGTAGTTTGAGCATTCTTCGGCATTGCCTTTCTTTGGGATTGAAATGAAGACTGACCTTTTCTAGTCCTGTGGCCACTGCTGAATTTTCCAAATTTGCTGGCATATCAAGTGCAGCACTTTCACAGCATCATCTTTTTTATTAATTGAAATAGCTCAACTGGAATTTCATCACCTCCAGCAGCTTTGTTCATAGTGATGCTTCCTACGGCCCACTTGTTTAGGGGAAAGTCTTCATTTGGAGTTGCAGTGTTTATAGATTATATAAGTATTTTGACCTATCATGCTGATCTTTGAGGGTGTCATATTTAAAAGTGATTTCACGTGAAGTTTTTATTTTTTTCTATGAGGAAAACATTCTTTCATAAAAGTGGCTGTATTTGTCTAAGACAGCAATTTATATGACTTAAAAGCATTAATACCTAATTCTTAGCAGTAAGATATGCATCAGTAGTGATGTTAGTCTAAATTTCTATTTCCCTTAATCTGTAATTAATGGCAAAAAAAGAGAGAGTTGTTTTTTAGATGGACTGCTTGGACCCTAAACATTCTGGGAATAGGTGGGTGTTACTGGCTTTTGACTGCATAATAATTTTCTTCCCATTAGGCAGGTATAGGCTTTGAGACTGGCAAACTAGCCACACAATTTTTCTAATAAAATTAAAAAAGAAATTCTTAGTATGTGATTGAATGTATTAAGTCGTAAGACTAAAAAAGCTCCTGTTAGCAGCACTAATTTGTAATAATTTTTGGACACCTAGGACTGAATATAGTAGACATTACTTTTGTCATGGATTATAGAGGGAGAAGAAAAACAGGAGAAGCCTATGTGCAGTTTGAAGAACCAGAAATGGCCAGCCAAGCCCTTTTGAAACACAGGGAAGAAATTGGCAACCGGTGAGTGAAGCAGATAGTAAAGATGTAGAAAGATCAAACATTGGGTCATTCTGATGAACACAGTGTAACATGACTGTAAAATTATTTCAATACAGGCATGAACTGTCACATGTCTATCACTTAGATGAATAAATTAACATTTGTTATATTTGCTGCATCTGTTTTTTCAGTTTGTCTTTTCTTTTTTTAACATGATCTCAGTATTTATTATCTAATGCCAGTCCATAATCACATTTTCCTGTTTATACCCAGAGTGTCCTTTTCTAGTTGCCTTCTTTTCACCCACCAAAATCTAGACATGGTCCACACGTTGCATTTGATTGTTATGCTTCCAATTCTGTTAAGTTTGAGCAAATCCCCTTTCCCTGTTTATTCCCTTCTCCTTTTTATTAATTTTTTTCCCCATTAGGCCATGCCACGTAGCTTGTGGGATCTACGTTCCCTGAATGGGGATTGAACCCACACCCACAGCAATAAAAGCACTGAGTCCTAGCCACTTGACCACCAGGAAATTCTCCCCCCCACCCCAACCTCTTTTAAAATCCAGTTGGCTTTTGAAGAAATTGAGTCAGTGGTCCTGTATAGTGTCTCACATTCTGTATTTATATTTTTGCTTCCTCATGGTATCCTTTATCTTACTTCTTTGTATCCTGTGTTATTTCCTGATAACCAGATGTTAAAATCTCGGATTTATTCGGGTTAACATTTTAATATGGATACTCGATAGAGGTTTACCAGTTGCTCAGTGGTAAAGACTCTGCCTACCAATGCAAGAGATGTGGGTTGGATCCCTGGGTTGGGAAGATCCATGCTGGACGAGGAAATGGCAACCCACTCCAGTATTCTTGCCTGGAAAATTCCATGGACAGGACCCTGGTAGGCTAGAGTCCATGTGGTCACAAAGAGTTGGACACAGTTAAGCATGAGCACAATAAATCTCTTTAGTAAATTTAAGAAAAGTTGCCTGTCTAGGTCTGTAAATGCAAATGACTCCTATAATTTGAGCTTGATAACCTAATTTGGAAAAGCATTGTTCAGAAAAAGGAAACTGGTTCCAGAAGCTTGAATTTAATAGTTCCACAGCCGTACAGAAAGGAAGTTAGAACTGACATTTAGCTCATGAATTCTCCTTAGCCTCTAGTTAAGTCCTGAGGCAAGTTAGCTCATCATATACAGTGACTTTTAATGTCTTGGCAGATATGATGAATTTTCACAGAAGTGATTTGTAAGACCTCAAGAGATTATTAATCAACTGTATTAAAAAAATAACAAAACCTTTCTTAACAGATTCTTTTTATATATACAGTTGACCTTTGCATATTGTCGTTGTGAAGTGAAATGGGATAGAAAACATTGGTAAAAGTAAACTGTTTTCTTGGAGAGGATTAAATCATTGACCTGGTCTGTTGAGAGTACTTTTTCATGGGCTAATGTCTATGTCCATTCTTACTTATTTCCCCACCTGTTATCTTTGGACACCCATATTTGTTAACCTTTGAAAATATATATGCATATTTTATTTTGAAAGAGTTCACCATGAAGTTAATGTGTACATATTCACTTTTGTTTTGGTATAGATATATAGAGATATTTCCAAGCAGAAGGAATGAAGTTCGAACACACGTTGGTTCTCATAAGGGAAAGAAAATAGCATCTTCTCCCACTGCTAAATATATAACTGAGCCAGAAATGGTCTTTGAAGAGCATGAAGTAAATGAGGATGTCCGACCCATGACAGCTTTTGAAAGTGAGAAGGAAATAGGTAAGGACTTGCCTCTTATTTCTACTCATTGGGTCTGCCTTGTATGTTTTGATATTTGTTAAAAAAAAAACAAAAACCTGTTTTATGACCATGTTGTATGATATTGTAAGAGTATAGGATAAAAGGTATTGAGTTTAATATTTAATATATCTTTGAGTGTAGTGTGTACTGTGAACACACAGTCTTCCCTCAGTATTCACAGGGGGTTGGGTCCAGTACTTGTCCTGGATACCAGAATCCATGAATGCTTAAGTCTGATAGCCCTCTGTATCCAGAGGTTCCACATACAGGGTATGAAGTGTTGACTATACAGGCCGAAGATACAGGTTTTTAAAAACTTTACTTATTTTTTTGTAGATTCTGTGTCAAAAGCTAGGTTTCACATATATAGCAAAAAGAAGTAAGTTTGTCAGCATTTTAAACTTTAAGTTGGGAAAAGATGTGTGTAAGAAAGCAGGATTGTTGACAAAGGAAGGAATGTTGTCTACCTCTGTATTTAATTATTCCTTTGATTCTTAATCCCAAAACAGTGTTTAGAATCTTGAAAGTTTGATAAATACATTCTAAGTTTGTGCCCTAGAAATATCCCGTTACCATATTAATTTTTTTTAAGTGATCATAACCCAGGAAATTTTTCTCGCCTTTATTTTTTCATTCATAATCGTTTTTCCTTCTGTTTGTTGTTAGAGAAAGATACCTTCTTTATAATCTGGTAATGGTTTGAGACACTAAATCCTTATAAGTGTTCAGGTGATATCTGTTAGTGGGGGAAATTTCAGATGACTGGCTTTTAAAATGGAAGCCCTCTTCCTTACTATTTGAAGAGGAATTGAGGATTTTGACATTAAAGTCATTTCTAATTGCAGTCTGCTAATAATTCCTGAAGCTTTGATGTTCCTGACAGTGCTTTTTGTTCTACTTCTCAGAATTGCCTAAGGAGATGTCAGAAAAGCTTCCAGAGGCTGTTGATTTTGGAACTACGTCGTCACTACATTTTGTCCACATGAGAGGATTGCCTTTCCAAGCCAATGCCCAAGACATTATAAATGTGTGTGGCAGTAAGATATCCAATCTCAATAGCTTTGAACAACAGTTCTGAAGTTTTGAACTTCTATTTGGGGAAGGTAGAGAAGAAAAGTAACAGTGATTCTGTAGTATCTTTGGACAGCAAGATGGCATCTCCATGACTCTGGAAGCTTGTTTTATTTTCGTTGGCTGAGAAATGTGGGTTTTATTACATTTTAAAGTCATATATATAATGGATAAAAAGGTTTTACAGATGTAGAATAATATGGTATAGGTTTAGTATTCAAAGTAAAAAAAGTTTTTATTTTACGATAGATACTATATGAAATGAAAAGATATGTAACAACAAAGTACTTACTGATTTTCTGAACTTGAGGATGTATACTTAAGGTAGATCCAAAACTGGAGCCTTCAGTTAGCAGTGGGGCATCACAATTGTCTTCATTATTTCAAAAAGCCTAATGGGAATCATGTCTTTACCCAAATGAAGGTTGCATAGTCTCATTAAAGAATTGCTTTCTGTTGCTTTGATTTGGAATTTTAACCACTCATTGTGGTAGCTCTGTTTCGGTGGTATGGTAAGAAAATGATTATTAGCTGCTTGTCTGATTAAAACATGGTAAAAATGAATGATTATTAAAAAATGAAGTATTTTTGATGGGTGATTTTTTTAGAAAAACAGAAGGATGTATGTGGGAGGAATAATATAAGTAGTCCTTGTTGGTATAAAGGAAAGTTTGAAAACTATTTGTATATTATTGTATTTATAGTGTAAGTTCTCTGTGAACAGATATTTGAAATATAACCTTGAGTTCTAAGAAGATCAGAAGAGCCAAAAGAAGTGGTAGATGTGTAATTACATAGTTGCTTAACGAGATTTCCTAAAAATAAATTTATTAGATGTATGAATTAGAGTCTGAAAGAAAAGTGCAGGGCCACCAGACTTCTAGAAATTGGACCTAGTAACATTATGTTCCTTTTGGCTCCCTTTGTTTGTTTAGTTTTTTGCTCCATTGAAGCCTGTTAGAATCACCATGGAATACAGTTCCAGTGGGAAGGCCACTGGAGAAGCTGATGTGCACTTCGATACCCATGAGGATGCTGTTGCAGCTATGCTCAAGGATCGGTCCCATGTTCGTAAGTGCTGCCCATGATTTTTGTTATCAATTTTGACAACAAATGCCTTTTTCTGTTGTAGAGTTTACCCAGAAGTCTTTCATGGGGAACTGTACTCTGCTAATACTATTAAGTAAATGTAAAAAGGACAAAACTCTACATTATAATGAGAAGCATTTATTTGTCTATTTACTACTCTGCATATTTCTATCCAGAGTTAGGAGGTTTTTTTGGTTTTGTTTTAGTTTTTACCTAAGGAAAGGATGGGACAGAGGGTTTGAGTTGCTGGCTAAACTCAAAAAAATGACTACAATATTACTTCTGCCTTTGTAATTTTTTAAAAATGGACTCTTTTATGTTATTCTCAGACCATAGGTATATTGAATTGTTCCTGAATTCATGTCCGAAAGGAAAATAAGCTTCAAAGGATTCCATTTATAATAAGGTAAATTTAAGAGGTAGACTTGTGGAAATTATTTTCAGTTGATAAATTAATCATTAACTCACTAATTTGTAATATGTAAAACCATTCTCATTTTAATAAAGATCAAACTAATCATGATTGAAGCCTCACTATAAGAAATGAAATTCTTCTGGGAAATAGAATTCATTATGATCCTATAGTGGCTTTATTTTCCCATTAGAATCTCTTTGCATCATTCCCAGCATTCATCTTGCTATGTGTCTAAAAAGAACTCCTCACCTTTAGTAGCTGCATATTATATTATAATACACTGAAAATGTGCCTCATATTAGCTTGTCTTCCTAAAAAATTGACTCACATTTCTTAGTTCTAAGGTACAGCCTTGTCTAACTCAGTGAAACTATGAGCCATGCCTTGTAGGGCCACGCAAGATGGACAGGTCATGGTGGAGAGTTTTCTGACAAAATGTGGTCTACTAGAGAAGGAAATGGCAAACCACTTCAGTATTGCCTTGAGAACCTCATGAACAGTATGAAAAGGCAAAAAGATATAACACTGAAAGGTTAATTCCCCAGGTTGGTAGGTGCCTGGTATGCTGCTGGCGAAGAGTGAAGAAATAACTTGAGAAAGGATGAAGAGACCAGACCCAAAGCAAAAACAACACCCAATGGTTGATGTGACTGGTGGTGGAAGTAACGTTCAATGCTGTAAGGAACTAGAAAGCATAGGAACCTGGAATGTTAGGTCCATGAATCGAGGTAAATTGGAAGTGGTCAGACAGGAGATGGCAAGAGTGAACATTGACATTTTAGGAATCAGTGAGCTAAAATGGACTGGGATGGGCGAATTTAACTCCAGTAGTCATGTATGGATGTGAGAGTTGAACTGTAAAGAAAGCTGAGCACCAAAGAATTGATGCTTTTGAACTGTGGTGTTGGAGAACACTCTTTTGAGGGTCCCTTGGACTGCAAGGAGAGCCAACCAGTCCATCCTAAAGGAGATCAGTCCTGAGTGTTCATTGGAAGGACTGATGTTGAAGCTGAAGCTCCAATTCCTTGGCCACCTGGTGCGAAGAGCTGACTCATTTGAAAAGACCCTGATGCTGGGAAAGATTGAGGGCAGGAGGAAAAGGGGACGACAGAGGATGAGATGGTTGGATGGCATCACTGACTCACTGGACATGAGTTTGGGTAAACTCCACGAGTTGGTGATGGACAGGGAGGCCTGGTGTGCTGCGGTCCATGGGGTCACAAAGAGTCGGACACGAATCTGAGCAACTGAACTGAACTGAACCATTATATATACTACTGTGGGTAAGAATCCCTTAGAAGAAATGGAATAGCCCTCATAGTCAACAAGAGTCTGAAATGCAGTTCTGGGGTGCAATCTCAAAAATGACAGAATGATCTCTTGTTTGTTTCCAAGGCAAACCATTCAGTATCACAGTAATCCAAATTTGTGCCCCAACCAGTAATACTGAAGAAGCTGAAGTTGAATGGTTCTGTGAAGACCTACAAGACCTTCTAGAACTGACACCCAAAAAAGATGTTCTTTTCATCATAGGCGAATGGAATGCAAAAGTAGGAAGTCAAGAGATACCTGGAGTAACAGGCAAATTTGGCCTTGGAGTACAAAATGAAGCAGGACAAAGGCTGAGTTTTGCCAAGAGACGCACTGGTCATAGCAAACACCCTCTTCAACAACACACGAGAAAACTCTACACATGGACATCACCAGATGGTCAATACCAAAATCAGATTGATTCTTTGCAGCCAAAGATGGAGAAGCTCTATACAGTCAATGAAAATAAGATCAGGAGCTGACTGTGGCTTAGATCATGAACTCCTTATTGCCAAATTCAGACTTAAAGAAAGTAGGGAAAACTACTAGACCATTCAGGTATGACTTAAATCTTTATGATTATACAGGGGAAGGGACAAATAGATTCAAGGGTTTAGATCTGATAAGACAGAGTACCTGAAGAACTATGGACAGAAGTTCATGACATTGTACAGGAGGCAATGATCAAGACCATCCCCAAGAAAAATTCCTAAAGGCAAAATGGTTGTCTGAGGAGGTCTTACAAATAGCTAAGAAGAGAAGCGAAAGGCAAAGGAGAAAAGCAAAGATATACACATTTGAATGCAGAGTTCCACAGAATAACAAGGAGAGGTAAGAAAGCCTTCCTCAGTGATCAGTGCAAAGAAACAGAGGAAGATGACAGAATGGGAAAGATGAGAGGTCTCTTCAAGAAAGAGATACCAAGGGAACATTTCATGCAAAGATGGGAATGATAAAGGACAGAAACAATCTGGACCTAAAAGAAGCAGAAGATATTAGGAAGAGGTGGCAAGAATACATGGAAGAACTATATAAAAAATATCTTCATGACCCAGATAACCATGATAGTGTGATTATCCACCTAGAGTCAGACATCCTGGAATGCAAAGTCAGGTGGACCTTAGAAAGTGTCACTACAAACAAAGCTAGTGGAGGTGATGGAATTCCAGTTGAGCTATTTCAAATCCTAAAAGATGATATTGTTAAAGTGCTGCACCCAAGGGATATGTCAGCATATCCATGTCAAATATGGAAGCAGATGTGGAAAACTCAGCAGTGGCCACAGGACTGGAAAAGGTCACTTTTCATTCCAGTTCCTAAGAAAGGCGATGCCAAAGAATGTTCTCATTACCTCACAATTGCCCTCATCTCACTTGCTAGTAAAGTAATGTTCAAAGTTCTCCAAGCAAGGCTTCAACAGTATGTGAACCATGAACTTCCAGATGTCCAAGCTGGATTTAGAAAAGGCAGAGGAACCAAAGATAAAATTGCCAACATCCACTGGATCATCAAGAAAGGAAGAGAATTCCAGAAAAACATCTACTTCTGCTTTATTGACTACACCAAAGCCTTTGACTGTGTGGATCACAACAAATTGTGGAAAATTATTAGAGATGGGAATATCAGACCACCTGACCTGCCTCTTGAGAAATCAGTATGCAGGTCAGGAAGCAACAGTTAGAACTGGACATGGAACAACAGACTGGTTCAAAATTGAGAAAGCAGTACGTCAAGGCTGTATATTGTCAGCCGGCTTATTTAACTTATATGCAGAGTACATCATGCGAAATGCTGGACTGGATGAAGCACAAGCTGGAATCAAGATTGCTGGGAGAAATATCAGTAACCTCAGATATGGAGATGACACCACCCTTATGGCAGAAAGTGAAAAACTAAAGAGCCTTTGATGAAAGTGAAAGAGGAGAGTGAAAAAAGCTGGCTTAAAACTCAACATGCAGAAAACTGAGATCATGGTATCTGGTCCCATCACTTCATGGCAAATAAATGGGTAAACAATGGAAACAGTGAGAGACTTTATTTTTCTTGGGCTCCAAAATCACTGCAGATGGTGACTTCAGCCATGAAATTACAAGATGCTTGCTCCTTGGAAGAAAAGCTATGACCAACCTAGACAGCATATTGAAAAGCAGACATTACTTTGCCAACAAACGTCTGTACAGCCAAAGCTGTGGTTTTTCCAGTAGTCATGTATGGATGTGAGAGTTGGACCATAAAGCTGAGCACTGAAGAATTATGCTTTTGAGCTGTGGTGTTGGAGAAGACTTGAGAGTCCTTGGACAGCAAGGAGATCAAACCAGTCTATCCTAAAGGAAATCAGTCCTGAATATTCATTGGAACGACTGATGCTGAAGCTGAAACTCCAATACTTGGGCCACCTGATGTGAAGAACTGACTCATTGGAGTAGACCCTGATGCTGGGAAGGATTGAAGGCAGGAGGAGAAAGGGAAAACAGCGGATGAGATGGGTGGATGGTGTTAGTGAGTCTATGGGAATGTGTTCGAGCAAGCTTTGGGAGTTGTTGATGGACAGGGAAGCCTGGTGTGCTGCAGTCCGTGGGATCGCAAAGAGTCAGACATGACTAAGCAGCTGAACTGAACTGCAGGTATTTTTAAGATGTTTAAAACAATACATTTGAAACCAGGGTGTATCATGGATTTATATACATTTAATGTACTACTGTTTCTTTTCCTAAAATGGTGTCATGAAAATTGTTGTCTGAGGAAGTACATAGATTTCATAGAGTTTTATCTGTGACAAATCAAGTAAATATATTTTGATGTTGCTTCCCTGACTCAGTGCAGTGTGGTATCTTTTTCCCCATAATTAATGTATTGTGATCATTTTTCTATCTGTAGTGGTGCATTCCTTTAAAACATTTAACTGTAATGAGTTCTTGAAAACACATGGGGCATTTCTTTACTGTAGTCATAGGCCATTTTTGGATATAAAATCCCGCAGTTGTGGGCCTTATATATTTACATTAGATAAAATCTGTGTAAAATATATTTTGTGTTCAACCTTGAAAATCTGCTGTCTTTCTACCAGGCTACAAACACTCATGCTTAACTAATTTTGTTTACCTTAATTGTTTGTTAGATAACTTGCAATAAATCAGAAAAAAACAAAGTATTGAATTTGTAGTTTTAAATGATATGGGAATATGTGCAGCACTTTTTTAGTTTGAATAAAAATGTGCAACTTTTTTGTTTTATTTTCAGGATGAAGCAAGAAGCATTTCATTTGCACGTCTTTCTCGGACTTGGGATCTAAAGTTCCAGTTTTTTAGCAGCAACTGCTAGAGAAGTGGTTTCAAGATTTTGGGTTAATTGCTTGTAAGGAAAATTCCATAGTGGACTGTTCAGAGGAAAAGATTCAGTTTAGGATTATGATACAAACCTCAAATTTAGTTTTTTTGTTTAAATTGTCCAGGATCTGGTTTAAAAATCTGCTCTTTTTTTATATAATTAAACAGTTTGTTTTCATAGATGATTTATGACCCAGAAGGCTACATATTTTTATTCAGCACTGTCCTTTAAAATCTTTGTCCCATTTTAAAAATTATCCGTTTGAGGTTTTGGGTTTTGCCAATGAATTAAGAGATACAATGTAAAACTTTTCATGGAATAAAATA